GCGGAGCCAAACCAGCCCGGTCCAGTTAAAGTCTTTAACCAGTGAACAGCACCACCCTCAGGCAGGGAGGAGCACAGCGGGAACATCACTGATGCCTGGGTCAGAACTACAGCCACACCTTTGACCCCGAGTCCAGCACATCCAGGATAAAGAAATGTGACCTGGAAGAGAAGCGAGAGAAAGCTCCCTCCACCATGACTCTGAAAACACGTCCACCCTAGCCCACCCACGAGTGGACGCTCTCCGTGCCACTCAGCACAGACGCATTGAGGACGCAGTGAAGACTCTGAAGCCGGCATACACGGGCTCAGTGAATTTGGTCTTGAAGGTGTGGAGGTGGGTCAGAGTGTCAGAGGAGACCTTGAGGAAGGACAGAGTGCCAGCGTGACAGTCCACGTACACCGCTACCCTACCAGAGTCGGACAGGGAGGATGAGGAGTAGGAGCGCGAGGAGAGCGCCGTTTCTTTGCCGTCGTGCCAGACGGTGTACGTATCGGAGCAGTACAGACTCCACGACTGGTTGTTCCACCCGAACAGGGTCTCGTTGCTGTCTCCTTTCCTTCTGATCCCTCTGTAACTCACCGCTATGTAAACCTCGCCGGTCCACTCCACCTCCCAGTACCCGCGACCCACCAGCCCATCTCTGCACAGCAGCTGAGCCCGGTCGAATCTGTCGGGATGATCGGGATACCGCTGAGGCTCCGACCGATACTCCACTTTCCTGGTGTGGGGGGACAGTGTGAGTTTCCTGTTCACCGTGTTCATGTCGATGGTGAGCTGACAGCAATCTGATGAGAGAACAAACACGATCCAGTCAGTCATCCAGGCCTCGGCGGTCTCAGGAGCCGAACCAAGACCGCCGGACTTCTCCGAGTTTGTCCAGATGTTTCATCCGAGAGGCTGCTTCAGTTCAGAAGGTGGACTACACTGACCTGGACCACTGCTCCAAAAGGTCAAAGGCCACTCCCTGAGGATGCCAGTGTTTACATTTCATCACATCTGTGTCCACTTTGGACAGAGGGCGTGGCTTACGACACAGACTGCGCACGACCTACAGTCCAGCCTGAGGTCAGGTGATCTCAGTATGGCAGGGTCACATTGCTTCGCCTTAGCTCATGAGATGAGTCACCATTGAGGGACACTCCCACCGGCGTTTAAATACTGTTTGGTCCAAGACCTGAAGCAGCTCCTCGGATGAGGCGTCTTCAAGAAGCTTAAAGAAGTCCAGTCTGTCCAAGCTCGGAGGAATGAGCGATGCGCTGTTTGAGTCACATTAAAAACACACTTACACTTCTTCAGCTCTGACCTCACCCATCGAACTCCAGCAGGCTCCGCCCTGAAAGCAGGAGAGGGTCAGCATGCACACTTGGACATCACATGGCTGTCATACTGTTATAGACAGGCGTGATGGAGCGGCGCTCTCTGTGCTAGCTACACGCAGAGATCTACAGCCATGGAGGGAAACGTGAGGCTTAAAATAAAGAAGCAGAGAGGAGAGGCTTCCCGCTCTCCTCTTTCCGTCCTCCTCCTCCTACCTGAGAGCGTCCGGTCTCCCACGTCGATCCACAGGTCGTGTAGGCACCTGCACGTTTCCTGTAAGTACATCCGGGGTCAAAATGACAGGTTTACACTAACTCTGTGTCTGTCCTCGTGCAGCACATCACTGAAATCAGTCTGAGCGCTGAAGCTGCATTTATATGAACACAGGTTTATAATCCAGATGTCACAGTCTCACACCAACCTCATGTTTCTGCACTCACCTGGAAGCAGGTAGAAGGGCTTCGTCAGGGTGTGTAATTTCACGCTCGGCATCAGCTGCTGCATGCCCGACACACGGAAGCGCTGCATGACCTGTGGGTCAGAAATATCACACTGTGACCACGCATCAGCTCCACGAACAGGAGG